CGTCCAGCTAGGAGGGGTGGGGGGTTCTTGTGTGGGAGGATGATGTGGATGGACGGGGGCTCATATTGCCTTGGCGAGATATGAATTGGTCTGGCTGAGCCGAGGGCTGAGCTAAGGACTGGAGCTGAAAGAAGAAGGGCTGGAGCGAGCCCAAAGTCTGAGTCAAGAACTGGGCGGACGCGGGGGACTGACCCGGGGAGGAGGGGGAGGCAGGGCTCCTGGTCTGAACCGGGCCAGAACGGCCCGGGACTGATCAAAGGGCTCTGTAGTCACGCCAGCTGTCGGGCGTGGACCTTCTCAAATGGCTACCTAAGTGGAGCTAGAGGTGCAGGCTGATGGCGACACCAAGAAGAGCCTGCACTCAGTAAGGAATCGATTCCATCACAGCAAAGGAAATTCTCACCGAAATTGCTTCGATTTGTAGCCAATTCCTTAAGGCAAAGACATATTACTTCACTGATTATCTTAGAAGTGTGCAACTGCTCAACACTTGTAAGTGTCCAACCGCAAAGTTGAATACTTGCAAGTGTTCAAATCCATGGGTGTACACTTGCAAGTGTTCAACTCAGTAGCTGTGCACATGCAAGTATGCAACTCAGTAGCTGTGCACATGCAAGTATGCAACTTCTCTGGAGCAGTTCCCAACATCAACTTGCAGTTTCACACTAACAAGTGTTAAGCAGTTACACACTTCGTTTATCAGTGTTGATACATTTCTTTGATATGATGGAATCAATTTTTTTAGAAATGGAATTCTACTGAACCACAGAAATTATTTTATGACGTGAGTGTGGGTCTGGTGCCGTTTGTTTGGACTTCAACAACTGATAAAACCGTATGAAAGAATCATACGATGGTTTGAGAAAAGGTAGTTTTTGACATTACTTCAAGAGGTTTTCTTCTCTGATGGTCGAATCTAGGTCTAATGACCCTTTTCCATTCACGTTCCTTCTCTAGTAACAAAGCTGTTCTGTTAAATAACGTAGCATTCTCCTTTCCACCCAGAAAAGCCGGTTCTTGTTACAAAAACCGACTTTTCTGGGTGTGAAAGTGTTCATGATTTGGCGAGTGAACACAGAGCGCCACAAAACAATCCGCAAGTTTTTATTGCGGAGTTCGTGAGTCGTTTTGGATTTGTAACGTTGCATTATTATGAACAAATTATATTTAAACAAGAAAACTAGGCAGCTGACAGTAAACATGCACGCTAGGGGTGCCGAGTGGTGCTGCATATTAATCCTGGTATTAATTTCTTTTACTCTTTTTTAAAAAAAGCAACAAAGACTATTATTCATTCTTTGGGAATTTTCTTGTCCATAAACGCCAGTTAATCCACTCTTCTAATTAAATTATTGTTAAATGTGTTTAAAAGTCTAAGTTTTTGGGCGAGCAAACAAAAAAAAAATTGAATTAATGGATCACATTTGTAGAAATAAATGCTCCCACTTCTTTCACAAGTTCTTTGATTTTGTGCCGACTCATGGTTCTTCCCCCTTTCTTGGCCCCCTCTTTGCTTACTGCACACGACTTTTACACACCAGTATGAGTAAGCCCTCGTGATGACGGTCGGTAGGGTGAAGAGGCGGCTACTGAGAACCACTGCTTGCTCTGTGGCCAGCGCTGTAGCTGACGTGGTATAGCCTATAGACTACAGCGACGTAGCTAACGCAGTGTGCACTAGGACGGGCTGAGCCAGCACCAGCAGCCTCCCCACCCCTGGTGTGGGTGGAGGGCCTTCTGCCGCCGGGTCTCACCCCCCTTCCCCTTCCCGCACGCCTCCCTTCTCTCTCCGGAGGCCACGGGAGCGGAGGGGGTGGGGAAGGTGGTGGCAAGGAGTCGCGGGCCGGCTGGGCCTCCTCGGCCGGGCTTGGTCAAGTCGGACTTGCTCGGGCAAGTCAGTCACTGTGAGAAATATCTTTTTCAGTTTACCACGTTTTTTTTTTGTTCTCAACGATTTACAGATTTGACGTTGTAAATTTACGATTACCGATCGATCATAACGATGGCTCATATTTGTTCGTCGAAATAACACCAAGTCGATACACAGTGTCTTAGTATTTCTGTAATTTTACAATGTACAAAATCATATCTTAGAACTTTTTCCATTGAAAATCTTGACGTAAAACCTTTCCAAATATTTTTGGCAGTGGCCTCTGCTTCTCGCGGGTGCTCGCCGGTGCTCGTGCTCATGTGTGCAGCCGTGAGAGAGACAGAGACACAGAGGAGAGAGAGAG